GTTGACATATTAGCTAAATGTTAACTGACAGATTCATCTGTTATTAATTTTGACATTAAAGAAAACCTGCGTGGGGAAGAAAAAAAACCTTTTAAAATGCCACTTACTCTTTTAACACATGGGTTACCATGCAATGCAACATACAACCAGCTTCCATGGTCATTGGCTCTGGCAAGCCCTTTCCTTCTCTCATGCCTCACTGTTAGTTACAGAAGCTCTCTATACTAACTATGGGCCACTAGTGAGGTGCATGACTGAGAGGTAGGTGAACTAGTGGGAGAGCCTGCGACCATTAAATCTGGTAGCTGTTTCTAGTACAGAGCACACAAGGTTTCGGGTTTTCTAAGACATTATCTAGAGTATGAGAAGTTTATGAGATAAGTCCTGCTATGCAGGTACTCCTTCAGAACCCAATTATACCCAAATTATCTCGATGAACTATTTCTTCCTGTCTGTGTCCTGGTTTCACTTCCTGTCTATTTGATGTCAGACAGAACAGGAACTAAAGGGTAAACTCCCATCTGTTAGGATGTAACTTCTATGTTCCCATTGGGGAATTTTTCCTTTACTGCCAGTTAAGGCTGTCACAATAGGAAGTGAGGGGAATTCTTTCTAAAAAGGCCCAGAAATAATTTAAAAGCTGACATAAAAAGCTACTCAGCTGGGACAGAGAGCTGGGGTTCTTAAAGCCTTACAGGGGTTCCAACTATTCCTAATTCTATCGGAAACTAAAAACAAGCTTTGAATTTAAGTCTAGCAGGTCTAGCTATTCCCACACCCTACTATGTCCTCACAAAGACCTCTGATGCAGTGTAGACCCACTCACAACTGTCTGCACTGCACGACTGGCACAAATGCAAACAATTCCTGAATCTGTGAAGGGCTGGCCTGTGAGGAACAGATCCATGCTGCAAAAAAGGCTTAAGTGGGACATATTGGGTAGGAGAGTGGTAGGAGAACCCATACAGGTTTTTCATGAGAATTGTAAACTTGTGCTGAAAAGATGAATACTAGGATTTTTGAAAGTTAACCCTTGCAGTGGGACTACCCCCACACAGCAAGGGTAAACTGCTCATGAGAAGATACACTCTTCCAATCCTGCAAGTCCTGCAGCAGTGAGCACCCTGCTCTTTCCCACTCTGCTGTGGCTGTGGTATGTCCATCGGCTTCTTCACGTCGAATACACTGTATTCGACGTGATGAAGCACGGGTCCTTAGACTGCCGGAGCCCGAGAGAAAAAAGGCTGCAGGGTCTGGTCTAGCATCAAAGCAGGACCAAGGATTTGGATGACTATATCCTCTTCATTTTTGCTACCTAGACCAAATGAGCAGTTGACCATTGCTGTGTGAGGGTAGTCCACTGCAAGGGTTAACTTTTCAAATTCCTAGAGTTCTGCTTTAGTCCGTTACAGCAGAATACTGTTAAGAGAGCAAAAACTCTTTTTATTTTTCACTGTTCATACTTCAGGAAACTGAAGTACAGATGCCAGTGGGAAGGTAAATATATTTATAAACTTTATCTCCTACGGTTTTTTTCCTTGTCTTTAGTACAAAGTCTGCTTCAACAAATATTTTATTGTGACTCCACCTCTACACTGTTCATAAATATAAATTCTAACATATTTTTATTCTGGTAATTTACCAGTGTATGATATACAGCATAGATCCTATAAAATGGAGATCACTAGCACTCTGTCAAAAGCATTAGATTATTGTTTATTTATTGAAAAAAACACAAGCATTATTTAGCTTACGCTTCAGGGCTACGCAGGGTCCCTTCTTCAGGGCGACATAGTGACGACATGTTCACTATGTCACCCTAAAGAGGGGACCCTGTGTGGCCCCGAAACATAGGCTAAATGATGCTTGTGACATGTTTCTTTAATATATACTGTAAGCAAAAGAATCTAATGCTTTTGACTAAGTGCTGGTGATCTACATTTTCTATGATTTTGGAAAACACGGTGCCCTCTGTGCAATCACCACGAGCACCACCACCATTAATCAAGGTCCAAACGCTGTAGGGAGTGCAGGTGGCATATGACAATGTTATATAGATCCAACATATTTCATTTTTTATATAAAAAGTTTCACGTTTTATTAATCCCCTTATTAAAAAAACAATACAAAAATGGGAAACCATTATAAAAAAACCACAGTTATTATTGCTAGGACATATTGGTCATATTCGGGCCACTTGATATGTCTTGATCTCAGCTGGGGACAGTCCAATCTATAACAGATTTGCCAGTCTAAAGTGATAATTGAACTGCGGTAGTGCATTACTGTGTGTTGTGGTGCATTGTGTTGGAAAAAAATAGTGCATGTCCAATAGTTTGTGCCTTCTGGTGCATTGTCAGCCTGTTCATTTGAATGGGCCGCCTTAACGCAATATACAATAACATGCGTACAATGACGCAGTGCCCTAGAGCAGACAATTCTGAACGAGCCCTATGTCGCAAAAGGCTGCTACAGTTTGAATTCTAGTTTGCTTAATGTAATCAGTCTGTAATCTATCCATTAAACAGTGCCTGCTGTCTCATTCAGTTTTTCTAGTTGCCTTTTTACCTGGTCATTGCACAAAGCTTGAGAGGAAGGTTTAAAAATGGAAGAAAGATGGAAAGAAAAGAAACATACAATTTTATATGTACTTCCCATCGCCTTCAGTGTAAAAAGGTAACTGTCAATGTGAAAACTGCAACATGTATTTTAACACAGGAATGAAATAGCAAAAAATATACAAATGCCATTATTTTAGTTCATGTGGACACACAAGCAAATTAAAGAAGATTTGCCTGCAGGGTGCTATTCTCACCTTCCTACTTGCAGTAGAAAAGACATAATAAAAACAGATCAAAGACTGGTAAAATAAATTAAATCTTTTTCATCGTGACATGCATTAATTTTCTATCTGCCTAGGAACAGAGGTCCTCCTATGTTTATCAACACGGTAATAGGCAAAAGAAATGAACAGCAGCTGAAGAAAAGTTTTACTCCTTTGAATATGCTCAGAAAATATGCTCCACACTTCCTCATTTAGCCCTCGTTCACACCTGAATGTTTTGTAGCGCGTTCTACGCTCGACGAACGCTCTACAAAGCACTCAAAAATATAAATCCCATTGTATTCAATGGTCTCGTTCCCACCTTGGCGTATTTCCGCCCGTGCCTAACGCGCTACAAAACGGCCCACGCCTGAAAAGGTACAGGTACTACTTTGGGCCGTTTTGTTGCGCGTTTCCATTGGGATACAGCCAAGTAGCCTTCGGAAACGCGCGACGGTCCCGCAACTTTTTTTACCGCGAATCTCGGTAAAAAAACGCGCGACAGACGCACATATGCAATACACCTAGGTGTGAACGAGACCTTAAATAGGAACACTGAGAGGTCTAATTATACACAAATTCACACAAGATTCACACAGCTTTCACTAAGTATTTACACAATCTCCAATTGAATCCCATTAGAAAAATGTGTGAATCTTGTCTGAAAACATGTATAAATTGACCCTTTAGTAACTGACTGTATATAGTATGAACTGTGTCTTCAGAAAGCACAGTTACTATTGCCTTGGGCAACACATGGTCTATTTGGGTTGAATGCAATCATTAATTACAAATATTTTAACTGATAAAACAGTTACATTTTTGGTCTAGGGATTTGAGCTGTGCTGATGGTGAAGCATGCTATTAGTGCTTGTACATGTGATTAGTCTATCTATATACAAACCATAGTAAAATTAATTAAAGCCTAGAGTTTTCTTCAATAATAAGAAATATCTTAAAGCCCAAATAAAGTCTCATTCTTTTTTATCTCTAAATAGCCCAGTGCTCCCAAAAGTTGTTATGATTTTTGCTTAGGAATGCTTTAAAATGCTGTGTGCAGTCATCATCCTGTCCTCACATTGCAGTGCTCTGTGCTGGCACAGCTGAGTAACAGCCACACCCTTCATCACAAGATTCTTCACATAGACTAAAGGTGCCCATACACTGCTCGATTCTCGTACGAGAATCGCGGGAAATCCCACGATCGTACGGGAATCGAGCAGTGTGAACAAAGACGTGCGACCGTTTTACTGTACGGTCGCACGGCTTTTGTCTAAGGAGCACGCTAGAAAACGAGCCACAAATCGTACGATTTTCGGCTGGTTTGAACGGTGCTCGGGAGACAAATGCTGAACGGGCCGGTGTGCGCACGCGCACACTGCCCGTTCAGCATTGCAGTCATCGGAAGCCTGCCCCTCAGGGGGGCAGGCTTGCGATGATTGAGAGTACGATCTGCCTGTCCAAGATGGGCAGATCGTACATTTTTTTAAATCACTTTAAAGTGTATGGCCACCTTTATAATGCAGAGGAGAAGAAGGCGGTGTGTCTGATCAGCTCTGTGTAAATTCATATGAGCACTGAGTTCATCTCTAGTGCCTATTAAACTGCACAGTCATATTCAGAAACCCTGAACAGCTGATGTAACAGAAAAATGGAGTTTGTTAGTACAATGTCTTTTTGACTGCAATATTTATTTTTATTACTTCAGTTGGGCTTTAATTATAGCTTGCAGTGTTAAGAAAAACATATTAATAATACAATACAGAGTATTGTCATTTAAGGAACCACATAATAAGGGGATTTCACATTGTCTTATGAAAATAATAATTTTCCTGTTGAGATATTGTTCCAATTACTAAATACCAAAATATACATAAATGCTGAGGAAGAAGGTAAAAAAGGAAGTGAATGATCACATTCTTCAGGAAAGGCTCTTAAACGCTAGAAACTGATAACTATTTTTAGACAAAGAGAATAAAGAAAGCTTAAAGTAATGCAGGTATATGTTACTGCATAGTAAAACTTATTAATAAATCATAGCTGTAATTATTTGGGGTATTTATCGGGACATATGGCAGCTTTTTAATGCCAAACAGCTATTGACTGTGTAAGTGACAATATTAATTAGAGCGATTTTTTTGGTTGTTTGACATGCTAGACATATTTAAATTCTTACCTGCAGTTCCACTCCATAGCCCATGTAGACTGTAATATTATAAGTGCATTCCAGGTAGTTTTGAAATGGAAGTGGAGGGTAGTCTGTTGAGTCAATGTAACCTTCTGGTTCGAAGAAGTTCACACTGCATTGAACTATATACAAATACTTATTAGCAACAGAAAAACATAAATGCTTTATAGTACAATGTACTGTATTACAACAACATTTTAAAATAAGATATTAAAATTATTATCAAAAGGAAATATTGGTGCTATAAAGCATTGCCTTGCAATGAAGTCCTACATTTTCCCCCCCAATGTATTATGGCACATGCAAGCGGATGTACTGCTATTATATATGTCATGAACTGCCTCTTGTAGTAAGATGATAGATCCTTCACATAATCATTATCTAATAACATATCAAACATCTAGCGGTGGATTTGTTCATGTGATGACTACATTTGTTTGTGCATGTTGTGATCTTAGAGCACAATACACAAATGTAAGTAATACTTCAACTATACAGATTTGACCATAATCATATATGGTGATATTTGTTAAGAAAATCTTGTGAGGATATATTTGCTGTAATGATGACATAATAAGTAGTAAAACAAAATGCCACTCCTGCTCACTGATGCCAGACTGGCTCACCAGTAATACAGTCTGGTATTCCAAGAGCTGTGTCCACTTATTCAGTAAGAGACAAAAGTAACATAGATGCCATGGATAAAATAGTAAAACATTTCTATTTCCCCCCTGATGAATATTGATATATGAATAATGATAAGCTTCTAACTGTGAATTTCTTCACTACATAAAGGGATTCACGTAGTGTTAACGTTCATAATGCAAACTGTAGTCCCGTTAATCAATGTAATTATTTAGCAAGCTAGACAGAAAGGCAATCATTTAATAAACTAATTTAATGGGCAAAGGTGTGCAGTAATCCATATTAACCAATCAAATTTTAGCTGTAATCAGTCTACATTCCGCTGACGTTTAAAATCAGATTTCTAGTTAATATGAAAAATGGCAGTGCATTGCTTGGTGCATAATGTTATTATAGACAACAAAGTTATTAACTCTTATAAAATTTGGCAAAGACCATTTTCATTTTGCTTTAGTTGACCTTTATAAGAATATAGTAGGCATTTGAAAACTTCTAAAGGAAAGACACAAACTTACATAAAACGTATGTATGGTAACAGGGTTTGTGATGCTGCCAGTAAAGGCATTTATGTATATATACAGTTATATACTTGAACGGTTTAGCCTCCACACTTACAGGTCTGTATGACCAAATCTATCTTTCAGGCACTGGCTAGCAAGTTGGTAATATACTCAAAAATAAAAAGTAATTTAGACTGAGATGGCCATTAGAAATAAGCTTAGTGGATAATGAAAGTTGCTATTAATGCGAGCAGCACAAAAAGCACATTGCACAGAGCTAAAAATACAGCAATAAACAGATGAGATTGCCACTGTATAAGTGTTTAATACCTGGGCTCTGCTCTGTTGTAATGACAGTTGTTGTAATTATAGTAGATGTTGTGGTATCTTGGCTTTCCTCTCCTGCATTCAAATCTTGGTCTCTGTAATGTTTCTTTAAAGGCTCATCTGCCTGCATAGAAGTGTTGATATCTGCTACAGTCAATTTTACTGAATCCTGATTATGTGGCATTGAAGGTTGTGATGTATATGGGGTCAGCTGGAAAGGGTGGCGAGCAATGGAACCACTGTGTCTTCTTCTGTTTATCCACAATGGAAACTCAGGGATGTGTTCCTTTACTTCTCGGGTTTCAGAAGATAAATCCTTTAGAACAGGAGACATATCTGATGATAATGATGATAAAGATGCTGAGGATAATAAGCTGGCACTTGATTCTACCAGTCTTTCAGAGACAGTTGGGACTACTTGTGGCCTCAAAAGTTTCCTTGCTAGGTTTAATTGCTTTAAGGATGGAGGTTTTTTCCTGGTTGGCATTGTTTGATTATCTGCAAAATCTGGAGTAGAGCTTGGGGCTTGCTCCTTATTGAGTAATACTTCGCTTTGTGTATCTGAGTTTAAGAGCTCTTCCCCTGAGTGAGGAGCACTTTGTGATCTCATATCCTTGAGCCTGGAGTTCTCCTTCCCAGTTCTGCTGCTGAGAAGTTCCACAGGGAGCACTTCCAATGCACTTGGGATGGGGTTCTTTTTGATTTTTCCATCTGCAGAAATACAAAAATTGACCATTGGTTTAGTATCTTTGTCACACGATATTCTCTCAAATTTGCTCAAGAGTAAGTATGCAGACTGTGCTTGTTGCATTTTAATTATAAGGAGTGAATTTTCAGAAAGAGAGTGGGGTCTTTTGTGGATATAGGTTTGGCACATTTGTGAAACACTACCTGGCAGAGATATGGATATGTGTTGTGCAACATACTGACAGGCACTATATTTACTCAAAGTTGTGACCACAAGCATTTTCATACCTTTGTGCTTATGAATCTCGTGCCTCTGCAGTGATTCATAGGCAACTGTAGATACATTAATTTAATTTTACACCACAGCAACAAGCCATATACCTGAATATGCATTTTTCATTGGATACAATACATTTCATAAGCATGTAACATGAACAAGTCATTTAGTACAGGTAATACATTTACTGCAAAACTCTAGAAAAGAGAAGTATCATTGCTTGCCTAAGAAATTTATTTAAATTTTTTGTTAATTTTCCAGGAAAGAAGTGGAAACCGATACATAGGGAGAGTGGTGCCAGTCACAGTCGTCTGAGAAAATATGGTACTATATCACACACTCCATGCTTCTTATGTCCTGTAGTGGCACATGGGCTGCTATGACAATAATATCACTTTTCAAGTGTACCTAAGCCCAAGGACAACATTGTGATATATTGCAGCTTACCAGTTCTTAGATTTGGTGGCTGCATTACTTTTTTGTAGGTAATTATCCTTAATTTTCACCTTGTGATCCTGACAGTAACGGGACTACATAACACCACCCCATTAGGCTAAATGTCAACAATAAAACAAAAACTTTAATATTTATTAATGTAAAGTATGGTCCTGTGCTTGCTGTGGAAAAGATCTAGAACTGTACTGTGCTATTTGGACAAAAATTGACAGTGCTGGATCTACCATACATTCTGATATTTGTACTATTATCATCTGAGGTATACACTGCTTTCTATACATAATAAATGGGGTGAATTCTTTCTCTCCATATGTAGTCTCCAAATTGCAAACCTGTTAATCAGTGTGGTTTTGCTCTCACAGCATGTTCACCACTAATACACTGCCATCAACAACACATCGTCAGCAGGGGTACTGTTGATTGCTTATATCTCTGGCGCATATTAGTACCTCAGAGATTTAAATCTCAAATATAAGCTGACATATGACAAGGTGCTTCCAACTTTTAGAAATGTATATATGTAAACATTTCTATAATTAGGATGAAGATTTTAATCTTAATATTGAAAATGATAACTGTCTGCATTGTGTAACAAAATATCTTTACCGTCACACTTTTATTTTCAGTATATTCAGACTTAAAGGCTAAGTTAACATTTGGGACAATGTTTCATGTTACACCCATATTCAGGGTGCAACATGAAACATTAGAGGAACTGGTCAGAGAAAGTAGTGGGTTTTTTTTAAATCGCCTTTTCTTGGAAATATTCCCGCACAAACATATAGATAAAATTACAACATTTTATTAATACATCTCATTAAAACCATAGACATTTAAAAGCAAATAGATCCAGAACACAATACCCTTGTGACTGGCCGACTGGTCCCACAACAATCAGCCCCTCCACAGAGGCTAAGAGACAGACAAAGTCCAAACCCATAAAGGGCATATGTAATCATAGGTAAGCCGAGGATCTTGTGGTACTGAAAAATGATTTGTCTTGATGAATTTTGCCTTTAAAGGCTTCCTCAGGAGAGGGACCTAGTGCCTAAAGAATAAAACAGGCTATGTCATGGGCATCAAAGGGACATCCTGATCCCAATGTCCAAAAAATCTCCCCTCGACCAACATACAGTATATGCCCCCCCCCATATACTGAAAACAAAAATGCAAATATTACAAACATGTAATGTTATAAACATGTGCACATTTATTATTATTTTTTTAAGTGGACTTAACCCTTAAGAGGCACTAAAACTGTTTACTTTCTTAATATGTATTTTTAGCAATAGACGAGTGAGACCCAGCCACCATTTGGTCTTATATAGTATCCAAAATACGTGTCATATCTGTGTCCTTTACAATAAAAAAAAAGCACAGCACTCTCGTGAAGGTGTGGGGCATGTGTAAGTGTGGTCAGTGTGGAGTGCTGCTCTGAAAACAGGAGGAGGAATCTGTGGAAGCAGTGATGGAGAATTAAGAGTGCAACTCCAATAGTATGAATGGTGTTGAGACAACCCGTCTCTATAAAATTCAAAATCAAAGTGTGAACAATGAGGAACTTACTTGTATGCCCCAGGGTCCGGACGCGGAGCAGCCCCCGATGGAGGATCTGGCGGTTCTAGGAGTGGTGTGTGGTGCTATAAGTTTGTGGTGGCCACCAGATGTGATTCTGGTAGGCAGAGAGGTGAGGAGTTAGGATGGAGCGGGACTGGTTCTATGGTCTGGATGTGGCTGGTGCAAGCTGTAGTGTCAGATGTGCTGGTGAGGCTGGGGGTCAGAGTGGAGTCGTGGACGAATCTGGACAGAGGGGCTGTGTGTACCAAAGGACTGGTAGTGGGGCTGAGGGGGTTGTCAGGCGCTTGTCGAAGGCTGTGTGTTTGGTGCGCCTCCAGTCTATGCAGCTGTGGTATCAGAGGTGATGGAATTCGAGCAGCAGGCAGCCGGGAAGGGACGTGCACAGGACTGTGTTCAATCTGAAGTAGTAGGTGATGAAGGAGCGAAGCGTTTCCAGGAAGTCCTCTTTCTCAAGCTCAAAATCAAAATCACTTCTCCTTTTGAGCTTGAGATTGAACACTGTCCTGTGCTCGTCCCTTCCCGGCTGCCTGCCGCTCCAATTATAAAATTTGATCAGTAGCTAGGTTACATGTTAATGCAGATTAGTGAGCTCAACAACAAACAATGATCTGATTATTTCAGTGCCACAGTAAAAAAAAATTAAAGCTTTATTTTTCCTTAGACACGAATATCTCTTATATTAAATTTTTCATGTTTGTACTTTCTCTGCATTAGCTGAGTAGTGTGAAAACTTGATATGAATCATTATTAATTCAATGCATATCTGTATGAATAAAGACACTGTTAGACCGATAAAAGATGTGCATTAGTATTATGACAATTTTCTATCCTAATGTTTAAGTGGTATTTATATTTATGAATTATATATTTGTTAATTTTCTTCACAAATTGGTTGCCAAGGCTCTTATGATTTCAAGTGAACAAACCATAAAATGTCAGTTTATCCATGTCCTCCTTTTTCTAGGCTCCTCTTATTTCATTTATTCTTCTTTTTTACTCTCTATTCCTTTTCTTGTCCTTACATAAATGCAATTTTGAAAATGTTTTCTAATGTGCAATCTAAAGTAGATCTAACATTTTAATGTAATTTTAAACAAATTGCTTTTATTCATCTTAAATCTGCAGCTTTCAGGAATACAGGGTGATTGTGCCATGAATGTATTTGTTCAGGCCCTGCCTTCTTTGGGTTGACAGCTTGTCTCCAAATAGTTTGAGAGAATGACACTACTTTGTGGATTAGAGTTAAGAAATACAATGGTGTCACCTCCCCACCTACAGCCTTCTGCTGGTTGGACAACAAAGAAGCAACACATTGATAAGTTATTAATAGTGATGGGCCGAACACACTCGAGTTTGATTCAAGTTCGAACTTTAGAAGATGGAAAAAGTTCGAACTCGAACTTCGAACTTAATGAAAGTCTACAGGAACCAGAACTCTGAAAATCAAATGTCCCCTTTTTGAAGGCTTACATGCAAGTTATTGGCCATAAAAAGTGTATGGGGATCCGGGTACTGCCTTGGGGGACATGTATCAATGCAAAAAGCACTATGAAAAAATACAGTTTTTAAAAGTGCATTCCCCCTCCCAAGCAATACCAGACCCTTTAGGTCTGGTAGGAAGGTTAGGATGGAGTCCCATTTAAAAAAGAAAAAAAAGCATGGGGTTCCCCCCAAAAGTCATTTGATTTAAACATTGCTTAAAGTGAAACAATAAAAATGAAAAATTCCTTTAAATATTGTGTCTGGGGGGCTGCCTTAAAGAACAAAATTACATTTATAAAGAGAGAACAAAAAAAAAGCATGCAGTTACCCCTCCCAAACAATACCAGACCCTTTAGTCTGGTAGTAATTTTAGGAGGGACCCCAAGTTACAATTTAAAAAAAAAGTGTGTGGGGTTCCCCCCCAAAGTCACACCTGGCCCTTAAGGTCTGGTAGGAATTTTAATGAGGAAGCCGATCCCCAAAAATGGGGAAAAAAGATGTGGGGTCCCCCTAAAATTTCTAACCAGACCAGTCTAAGCACAGGCCTCGCAGGTTAGGAAAGGGGACGAGCGAGCACCCCCCTTCCTCCCTGCTATACCAGGCCACATGCCCTCGGCACTGGGAGGGTGTTTTTCCATGGTCACCCCTACCCATTCACTAAATGGTTAAAATAAATTGTAAATAAAAACACCAGACTTTAAAAAAAATCCTTTAATTGAAAAAAAAAAGACGTGTTTGACAAGTCTTTTATTTAAACCCCCACCCCCCCAAAAAATGGACCCACCGATATAATCCTAGGGTCAATCACGACGTCCAGCGTTGTCCACGACAACGACAACTCGTCGAAATAAAAAATCAAAATAGAAATAATATATTTTTTTAAACCGGACGCCCATTGACACGTCCACTCACGACAAACTCCTGCCGCAGAATGGCATTCTGTCAGATGCCGGCAAAATATAAACAATTGGGCGGAGCAAGCAGGTGACAGCTAGCTAGCTCTGCCCAACTGTTTACATTTTACGGCACCTGACAGGACTTAGTGAGTGCACTGTGCTGTGATTGGGTAAAGCAATGCACCTGATCTGTGGTCAGGTGCATTGCATTACCCAATCAGGACTTCACAAGGCAGTGTGCGGTGCGCATTGCCTTGTGGGGCACTAGGCGGGCGAACAGCCTGCCGAGTGCCCTGATAGTTTGTGTGTTCGGCGAACACACAAACTAGCGATGT